CTTCAGGGCAAACCAGCCGGCCCCCACCCGTGCACCAGGCCTCTATCCTATATAGTAAAAGGGTAATATGCAAACTGACCCTAACAGCAGAAAGACTGGGAATGACTGGTCACTATGACACACACTGACCACCAGGGGGCAGATGCTCAATGTAGGAGCTGCTTCCTGGTGGTCAGGGTGCTCCCACAGGGGGAGCTCTGCTCAGCCACATGCCAGGCTGACGGCTGCCAGTACAGCGGTGGTGGTAGGAGCCTCCTCAGCAGCACTAAGGATGTCTGACTGCAGCTTAGGCCTGCTCCCCACTGGCAAGTGGACATCCCCCGAGGGCTCCCGGGCTGCCAGAGTGATGTCTGACTGCCAGCTTAGGCCCAGTTCCCCAGGGAGCGGGCCTAAACCAGCAGGTGGTCATCCCCCAAGGGGTCCCAGACTTCGAGAGGGCACAGGCCAGGCTGAGGAACCCCCCTCAGTGCACAAATTTTTGTGCACCGGGCCTCTAGTATTTAATAAAAATTTTAACCAAGTTTACCAGTGGGGGGAAAAATTTGTTGTGGAGTAAAAAGAAAAGGAAAAGATACATTTCTAGAATTTCAAAATACATTAAAAATAGGCCTATTATAAACTTCCTTAATATTCCCATAATGAATATATTTTATAGGAACAGAAGTTTTTACCTACTGTATTTATAGTGAATTCTAATCTGTTCAAATTCAGGATGAATAAAACATACCTTAACACCTTCAGATGTTTTAAATGGTTGGGATCAGAAAAGGTTTCAATGTATGAAAATATAATTTTATCTCAAGATACTTGAATGAAATATAAATAGAAAAACTGGAAATGTTCAGCCCAATCCCGGGGTGGTAATTACCTTGTTATACTGGAGAGGTTGTTGATGTCTCTAGAAAGTCTCACTTAAATTGATGAAGCGGATGGATGGTAAGGGGAGTTGCTTTATCTAAGATTCTATTTAAAAAAACCAAAGATCTGCATTAATGTAGATTGTTTTGTTATACACTAAAGCTTATTTATTTTAAAAGCTTCATCATAAGGACAAAAAGGCTATTTGCCCTTTGGAAATAGCCACTTTCAGCTTGATTCTAGTTGGAATTTTTAAGGTGTCTTTCAATAGGTCTTAGTTATGAAGGGAACTTCATTATCTTTAACATGGGAGCTTTTGGTGGCAAACATAATTCAAAGTAATGGATATTGTAATCGTTTTGACATTGAGATATATTTACTTCTTACAATTTGAATATGAATGATATTCTCATGGTGGGATTTTATTCAAACAAAATAAGATTCCTCCATGAGAAGCTTAAAAACCCCACAAAAAATAATTATGCTCTTTGCTTGAGAGATAGAATCTAAACTTCCCTTCTCATAGTTTCTAATCTTTTAATCATAGTAAGAAATTATTAAGGGAAAATAAGTGGAAAAGAAGCAAGCCATTTCCAGGGGATTGGTGAATTTTGGATCTCGAAGTAAAGGGAGTCAGTTTCCATACTGGACAATTTTTTTTCAAGTTTCTCTTTTCAATTTCAAATTACCTCATGCAAAACAGAGTATCTTTTAACCAGTTAATTGATAACTTTTTTTTATTATTAGAGAAATGGGAGGTATATTACAGCTTTTTTTTTGTATGAATGGATAAAAATTATGGTACTTATAAGTTCCAGATTTATTAGAATTTTAAGTTTCTTATACACCTAACTTATTATGATATTAAAATTTTGTATCAGTTAATATTCAGTTGTATTTTTTCATAATTTTGAGTTACAACATCACTGTATTCTTTCTTTCTTTGTTAGATACACACAAGTCCATGTTTTTATCAGTCTTCTGAGAAGAGCCAGCTCTTACCATTAAAGACAAATCTATGGCACTGGTTGAACCCTGGAGATAGTTTTTCTTTGTTTGTTGACAAATACATTTTCCGTGTTTTCTCTACGTATTCTGAAACAGAATTGGAATGTACTTTAAGGTAAGATTGCCTAATGAAATGACATTAGGTAATGGTATTTGTAACCTAATTCCTCAGCCATCCGCAATTACCTCAGGAGAAACTATTCTAGTATTAAACTGTATTGGTGATATAGGAGTTACATGGTGTGTGTGTGTGTGTTTCCAGAAAACATTTGGAAATTCATGCCTCAATAGTGATTGTTCTCATATGTGGTGTCTTTTACCATTGTGCTCAGAATGTATTTTCCATCTAACAGTAACCAGGATAGTTAATTTGAAACTCACTATATTTTCTTAATCTTTTTGTTCACTTTAAAGTTTTTATTTTATTATGTTTGTTGTTGAAAGTATTACAGATGTCCCCCCTTTTTCTTTATTAAGATATTAATCTTTGACTTAGACTAAAGTTGCATAACTTTTGTTTCTTATAAAAATAACAGAAAATATAGAATAGGGAAACTGAGGAAATGAGGTGTTATAATAAACATCTGGTGTAAAATTAAATTATATAATACATAAACTGGACCTATAAAAGTAGAATTATATACTTACTTCAAAAATCAGAAAAATGTTGTACATTTCTATTTTAAGCAAATTATGGCCATTGCCTGATAACTCATATACATTATTATATGTCAATTTTAATTTTTATGTCAATTCAAATTAGCTTGTCTCCTTCGTGTGAAAGATCAGTGTTGTGCCTTCAGTCAGATTGTGAATTTTAAATTGTTTTGGTATTGATAAAACTGAAAATAGAACCCACTTTAAGAACACTCTATTTTTTCAGGCTATTATGAAGAGTATTATCTTGTATGTTATTGCTATCAAGCCAAATGTGTTGAAAGAGGTAGTAAATATTTTTTATATGTTTTGGTAATTATGTACTTAATTTAGGGTAACCAAATTAATTGTGTTTTTATATTAAAAATTAAATATTCTGGTTTTAGTCTGCTCTTGTAAAATTTCCTTCAGGGTGTTGATTTCACTCTTAGCTTTTTTTCCATTTGTGATTTGGAGTTTTCAAATATTCCCATCTATATATATAAAAGGATAATATGCAAAGTGTCCCCTTGGGAGTTTGACCAGGAGACCGGGAGTTCAATCGCTCGCTATGATGTGCACTGACTACCAGGGGGCGGCATGAAATGAAGTAAGGCCCTGGCTGGCAGCCAGGGAAGGAAGGCCCGGGCCAGCAGCCAGAGGCCCCTATTGGCCCTGATCACATGCCAGACCTAGGGACCCTACCTGTGCAGGAATTTTGTGCACTGGGCCTCTAGTGATGATATAATGATTTCTGATGTGCAATAATGATTTTCATTTTTTTTACTTTGGTCCCCATTATGTAGTAACAATAGTTGAAAGACCATTTGCTTAAAGATAAGTTAACTATAATTTCTATTTTTAATTAAAAATATTTATCACATATGCATCATTCAATATATGATTCAAAGCATATAGCCCTCCCTTTTGAGCATTTTGGCAATATTTGATTCATTTCAGAATGTTTTTGATTTCATTGCATTTAACATTTGAACAGGCAGAATAAAGATGAACCTAAAATACTGAATACTTTCTCAAAAGGGGCTATGTCCAGACAGTATGTAAACAGACATCCATGGCTATGTTTCAGTAGCACTTTATTTACAAAAACAGGTAGCAGGTTGGATTTGGACTAAGTGTTGCAGTTTGCTGATTCCTGTATTAGAGTAAAAGCTAAGTTGCTTAAAAAATGACCTTCAAATGCAGTGCTTAAACAAGATAGAACATTTTTTCTGTCACACAATGGTCCAGAGTTATAGGCATGCTCTCCTTCATAATGTAATTCATGTTCTCCAGCTAAGGGAGAAACTCTGTCATCCTCAATATATATCTTTTAAATTAGTTTCATTGTTGGTGTTGCCAGTTGGTAAGGTAAGAAGGAAATGAGGAAGAGAATCCAGGACAGTGTCTTGCACATATCATTTCCATTTACACCCCTAGTTCCCCAAATTAGGCTCATGGCTATACAGAGTTGCAAGGAAAGCTGAAAAATGTCTTCAGCTAGGTGGACAGACATTGTTACAGATGCTTACTGACCAGTGCCATTCCAACTTTGCTGTCTGTTATGCCAGTAACATCCACTTAGTCTCTGATGTTTAATGCTAACCACAGGGCCTGCACAATTCTAGAATCCTATCATCTCCATTGATACTACGGAGCCCTGTTTTGGCAGCCTCCCCTACCACCAAAACTGACCTGTAGAGGCAGCTACCATTGAGCTACTCAACACTGTCTCACTAGTGTGTACCTTATTGCTTAGTGTTCTGGGTCCTTCCAGGGAACATAGCCAGCTGGTGGATTCTCTAGTCTTATGTAAGAAATCCATTTTAGCATGCTTCTTTGGGATAGCATTCAACTGTCTGTATTAGTCCCATTCCTGCACCCCTAGCCCCTGGAAGCCACTGACCTGATTTCTGTCCCTATAGCTTTACCTCTTCAGAATGTCATATAAATAGCTCGTTTGACTTAGCAAAATTCTTTGAGATGCATTCATGTTTTGTACATACCAGCATTTCATTCCTTTTTATTTCTGAGTAGCATTTCTATTTCCATTTTCAAATTTTCAGAAAGATAAATTTGTTGGATCATCTCTATGCATACATAAGTGATAATGATGCAACAACTTTGGATGATCTTATCACATTTGCAGCAAGTAGGAAGTAATTGGTCTGCTAGTATGTTCCCCAGGTGATCATATGTCGGAACATTTAGCTTTCAGTCAGGCTGCATGTTTGGGGAGATTTCACAAGTGGCTGTACTGGCCAGAACCCCAGTAACAGTTATAGGATTTTATTTATTTTTTCTCCAAGGGCCTAACTAACTTAGCTGATATATTTGCAATTTGCATTTTCTCTTTGGATTCTGCATGGTGATCTTAACTTTTATGGACTATCTGGACAAATACTAAATAAGTAAGTAGCTCTTAAGCCTCGCGCCGGAGCCTCCGTACCTCTGCACTTTACTTTCGTAGCTCCTCTGAGTCTGTGTGCTCTTCTCTTTCCTTCTAGTTGTAGAATTTCCACTCAGCCAGCCTTCCTGTGGTTCTGGATGATGACCGTTCTGTCTTTTAGTTGTATTTTTGAAGTTGTTGTCGGAGGCAGCAATTTCCGGTGTTTTCCTATGCCGCCATCTTGGTCTTTTTCTGATTTTATTTTCTAGAAATAGTCAAATGCTTGATGAAGATGAAATATTGAATGAAACACCAGAATCATCCTTGGTTAATTTGCCTGATGAGACGACTGGTGCCCCACAGCTGGAAGGAAGCACAGGAATAGCGACGACCCAGACTTCTACCACAAATAGTGTGGTGAGAAATTTAAGATCTCATCCATTTATAACCTGTCCCTTAAATTATTTTGAGGAGAGAAAAGACAACTGAAATTAGGCACAACACTTCACCTAGTAGAGATCATGAATGTCTTTGAGAAATTTGACAATTCAGTCCATAATTGCAGATGGGTATTTTTATGGTAGCTTTCTACAAAGTAAAAAAATTTACAACTTCATTAAGGGAGCATGCTTATTTTTGGTAATTAATAAGATGGTGATTTTTTAGTCTTTCGCAGGTGAATGCTCAAGCATCAGTAAGCAGCAGTCCAACCCCGCCCAGAGGAAGAGAATCCTTCCAGCGTGGATGTTAACAGATCTGGGTGATCAAAACCTCCCAGCACCAGTGACCAGTGGAAGTAGGTTTTGTTTCAAGCAAACATTAAGCAGAATTTGAAAGTTTTTATGAACAAATGAAGAGGTGAATAACATAGCTTATCATTTTTTTAGATGTGTACATGAAATCTAATTTAAAACACTAGCTATTATGCTATTTATCAAACATCCTGTTAATTATTTTTTGATTTAACATGTGCTAGATTTACCATATTAACAGATTTTTAAACAAACCTGTGCTGTCATGTCTAAGATAAAAGGCCAGCACAGTAAGGGCTTTATAAATTAATATAATTTTTAAAAAGTGCTAGGCACATGATGTTATGTGCTGGAGGATTTAAAGAAGAGGTGACCTCTGTCCTAGTATAGCTTACTGTCCTGGCAGATATTACAATGATTTATGTCATCTGCTGGGTATTCCCATTGATTTAAGATTATTAAAAACGTTTCTGCGTTGTCTTATTTAGTCAACATTTTATTTGCAACTTTTCAGTCATCTCAGGTTCAGTTTCTTTTCACTGCTTGTTTTCTTCATTTTCCTTTTATTCTCATCTAGTGACTTTCTGTTGGAAATTGGAAATTATAAATGATGTAGAGCTTTTGATTTTATGTTCCTCTGAGTAGGTATTTTTGTTCTAATAGACAATTAATTTGGTCTGATAGGCTATTTTCTTTGAATAGGCAGTTAATTCAAGCCCTAAATTCTGTTTTCCCCTGTGTGGACAGCAGTTACAGTCTCTGCTTAGTTCTCTCAGCTTCCAGCTGCTGCTTTTTCTCTGGGTTCCAGGGCTTCCCCCAGGCCTTGTAGTGAGCTATGGGTTGATTCTATGCATTGATTTTGGTTTTGGTTCTCTGTGAGTTTCTTTCTTTTAGGATTTTATCCCTAGCTTTCTACCTGCTCCACAAGCCTCTAACTCTGTCCTATGAACAGGTAAGCCAGCAAGGCTGCAGCTTTCTGCTACCTGTGAATTGGGAGATGCTCTCAGGAAAGAGCCAAAGTTTACAAACCTCACAGGTTGTAGTGAGTTTTCCAAGCTTAGATTCTTCTCTACTTTTGCCTTTTGGTCACTCTCCAGTATCTTCAGATAGTGGCTTTTATATATTTTGTCCAAAATGTTTAATGGTTTTGTTTGGGATGATTAGTTCTTGCAAGCTACTCTTACATTTTACCATGAACATTATCTTTTATAAAATAACTAGAGGCCCAGTGCACAAAAATTTGTGCACTCAGGGCTGGGGGGTTCCTCAGCCCGGCCTGTGCCCTCTTGCAGTCTGGGACCCCTT